TTCATTGCTTTCTAGAGGATTAGAGGATTTTAATTGTTATTGTTTAGCTCAATTGCTGCTGAGAAATCTGTGTCATAACAGGAAAAATGAATTAGTGTTACACTTCTGATAGGGAAGTCAGAGTCCTTATATGCATATTATCTCATATGCCTCTAAAATCTCCTGGCTAAATAGGCACATAATGAGTCTGTAGCTTTTGTAGGTCTCTTGACCTTTCTTTGAACCTGTTGTGTTGTTTACTTTTCATTAACCAGATATAGTATCTATTTGGGTCTAAGCCAACCCAGAGCTTTGAGTGTTCTTAAAAGACTACAGAATATTGAGTCACTTGTATTGCATACCCTCATATAGAATCTGTGTGGTAAGGGTAGCCACACAATTTCTAGAATTTTTCTCAGTCAACAAATTGCCTTCATATCACTAGGAAAGCAAGAATATTTTCTGTCAAGCCCACCAGTTTCCTTATATTGCTATTAGGTCATGTGAAATAAGGAAATATTGAAGCAAAATTCAGTCAAATCTAATTTCTAAAAAATTTTCTAAGATTCTCACACCGCCAGCGGGTCAATCTGCAATTCTGAGATTTGAGTAGCAGTTGGCTTCCATGAAAAGATGAGAATGGCAGTCCCAAGAAAGTCCGAGCAGAACGTCCTGAAAGTGCTGGTCTTGACCAAATGATTGCTATGCTCTCCTGGTGGGACGGACTCACCATAACTGACTGCATAAGTGAATAAGGAGGCCTTGAATCTTTACCATCTTAGGAAAAAATTAGAACTAAAATCTTTCCAATGTTGGGTTTATAAGACCTATAAAAACACCAAAAGACCAAGGATAATAAAGTTTATTTTAGTGTGTGTTTTCATATGGGCATATTGGGTTATCATTTAGTTCTCTGAGAAATTTTTAATGTAAAGGGTAGAATCTGATGTGTTCTGGACATGTTATTTTCATTCTGTGAGTTTTCCCAAAGTGTGCTCTGAAACAGCATGGTGAGTGGGTGGGAGTGTCTATTTTTACACAGACTAATTCAACAGTGCATGGTACTACACATTTGATCAGTCTGCCCAGCCTCCTAAGTGTACTGAAGCCACTGGAGCCTTTTGGACTCTATAATCATGCCATAAACAGTGCGTGTGTGTGTGTGTGTGTGTGTGTGAGAGAGAGAGAGAGAGAGAGAGAGAGAGTATGAGAAAGAGCAAGAGCCTGACTTCCTGTTTTTATAAGAATCTGACCCTTAGCACTCCTACTTAATATTAGAACCCCGTGTTTATTTTATTTATTTTTTTAAAAGATTTTATTTATTTATTTAATTGACAGAGAGAGAGAGAGGGAGACAGCGAGAGAGGGAATATAAGCAGGGGGAGTGGGAGAGGGAGAAGCAGGCTCCCTGCGGAGCAGGGAGCCCAATGCAGGGCCCAATCCCAGGACCCTGGGATCATGACCTGATCTGAAGGCAGACACTTAACGACTGAGCCACCCAGGCACCCCAGAATCACGTGTTTAAAGTTTCATTCATTATTCCAAGTAAGAGTAACCAGCCCACTTTGGAAAATGATTTTAGAAGAGCCCATATTTAGTAAGGACATTGGTTTCCCCAAGAATCTAGTCTACTGATAGATGTCCTAGAAATGATGTTTGTGTACTAAAGATATGGAGTTACCTAGAATTCAGGAAGTACTTTTATATCAGGTGTTGAATTTTTCATCCTACAACTCTTTGTTATAATAATTACATCAATAAAAATCCATCAAATAATGATGCTGTTGAGAAAGAAAAATGCTTTTACTCTCTCTCATCCAGGGAAGAGCCTGCACTGGGGAAGGAAGCTTTGGAAGAGTGGGTGGCACAATGGAAGAGCTCACATTAAGAATTTGAGTGGCCTTCAGAGGAGGAAGTGCCAATGAGGCAGGGGTTTGTTGAGCATCTTTTCGAGAACTCCTTTTCCCCCCACAGAGCCCTGCATGGAGAGGATGTTACTGATGATCTTGTCACTGTGGAAGTTGGAGGTTGGCCTTCATTTACTGAGGCAGAAGGAAAGAGAAGAGAGGTAGATGGGCGAGTTTGCAAGGTGGACATCTTTCTGAACTATTATACAGTTGTGTTCAAGTAGATGCCTTTGTCATTGCGTGGCACTATAGAGATTTCAACTGATCATTTCCTGAAATTTCACAGTCATTCATGGTTTTTATTTTACTCAGGGAAGACGTTTTTATCATGGTGAAAATTTTAGCTGTGCTTTGAAGGAAAGGAGTAACTACCCATAGCTACATCTCTTAAGCACTTAGTGTGGGATGAAAATTATATGTTCATTACCTCATCCAATATCTGAGGCACCTTCCATCCTCACAGATAATGAAAAGAGTTAGAGAGGTTAGAAAACTCACTTAAATCACCCAGCTAATAGGTTGAAAGTGCCAGGGATGAACTATATCTGGCTCTAGTGTTCATCGCTTCATCAACTCTCTTTATAGTATTCCCCCAGAAAGATCAATTCGGGTAAAGAAAAAGGCATCCCTGAGGCATGGGGTGCTCATAATCAAGTATTGTGTTGCATGAATTGGATGAATCCAATAGTTTTGTTGAGGTGGACATTTTAATTTGGGCCATATTGACAGGGATCAGTCATCTGAACATGGCCTGCAGGGTCTTGCATCATCTGGCCATGCCCCTGATTGTCTACCCTCCAGCCAACCTAGCCTTTTTTCAGTTCTTCAGTTGACCATGCTCCCTTGATCACAGGACCTTCTCTCAGTTCCTTAATGGATCATGTTTCCTTGATCACAGGACCTTCTCTCAGTTCCTTAATGGATCATGTTTCCTTGATCACAGGACCTTTGCACATGCAGGTTCCTCTGCTGGATGTCTTTTCCACTTTCTCTTCTTACCTAGTTAACTCCTGTCTTCTGTTACATATTCCCTCAATCACCATTTTGTCACAGATTTTCCTGATCTGCTATGTTTGCTATGTTACTCCCTCATAGTATCATAGATCTACCTGATCTTTAGTGATCTTATCACAATTATAAATTTATATATGTGATGCTTTGTTTAATGTGTATCTCTACCATTGGTCTCTATGGACTATGTCAATATGGATAGTTTCTGATCTGGTTATTGGAGAAATGGATGAATCAGTGAGTAAATGGAAAGTATTGAAGGCATAGGGCTGCTGGAAACTTTATAGATAATAGCAGTCAGGAGACATTCTGGCACTTCTATGGGGCTTGCTGTGATGAAGACAGGGGTTGGTAGATTATTCCATTGTTAAATACCCTGTGGAATGGATTAGAAGGAGAAGTTTTCTGATGAGATGCACCTAGGTTCTTGCAGGAAAAGGGAGGGCTTGGGCTCCTGGCACATTTAAACTGTGGTCACAGAATCAAAAGAAAGATTCAGATACAAGAGCTGAGGAGTTAATGAACATAGGAGCAAGAGAGAAGAGGCAGAGATTTCCAGCCCAGAAAATGGGGAAGATGAGATGCCTTCTGCTGCTTGGGGTATCCCGGATGACTGTGAATGATGAGCTCAGTCTGGGGTGCGAAGTGCCACGTATGAATGAATTGGCATGGCTTTGAATTTGGGAGCTACTGACACAGGTGGTGGATGAAAGCACCCTTTGGAGAGGGATAGAAATACCTTATAGCCCCTTGCAAAAGATAAGTGTCATAGGCTCTTTTTGAGAAAACAGAGTAGTTAAGTCATGGATCCAATGTCACATAGATAGTAAACGACAGAGCAAAAATCTAGGCACTCAACCAGAGACCACACACATTTTCCATCTGAAAGTTGACAGCTATAGGCTGTAGCATAAACAGGCTACAATTTTAGCATTTCCTGTATCATTCATTCTATCGAAGAGATTTTTTGGGGCATAATATGCTATATGTAAAATGTCATCTGTTGTCATTTTGTATTTCTATAATAACACATGAATACTTTTATGACCACAGTTTCTGAAATAAATCCTTTACCTCTGCTCCAAATATGATCACAAATGTAGAAAGAGTAATAGAAACATTACCACTACCACCAAAATCTTCCAACTGGCCAAACAATATTAGCTTTTGTTCTCTTTATGAATACTTTTCAACTATCTCTGTTTTTGCAGACATCTATCTGAGTTTCTGCCATTATCCACATTACATAGAGTGAGTAGAACCATTGTGAGTACCACTCCTTAGTTTTTGCCTTTCAAAATCAATGGCTTTTTTATAAAAATGAGAGTTTCTATGTAGCACTAAAACTAAAAGTCAAAGGATTATTTTAGATTCGAAGTACATGAAGTCTATGTGCTAAAATTATAATGAGCTCCTAAAAATATTGATATGCTATACTATTTCTACTAATTTTCTCCAATACACACGATGGAGGAATAGGAAGATTAAAGCAAGCCATCTAACTTATGAATAGTCCTTTTTTTTTTTTTTAAAGATTTGTTTATTTATTTGAGAGAGAGAGAGTGTGAGCGGAGGAGGAGGGATAAAGGGAGAGGGAGAGAGAAAATCTCAAGCAGACTTCCTGCTGAGCATGGAGCCCAATGTGGGGCACGATCCCAGAACTCTAAATTCATGACCTGAGCTGAAATCAAGAGTCAGATGCTTAACTGACTGAGCTACCCAGGCACCCCTAACTTGTGAATAATCTTAAAAACACTTTGTAAAGCTTAGCCATCTACTGTTTCTCATTACTCCTACTGGACTGAGAGGCTAGATAGATAGATAGATAGATAGATAGATAGATAGATAGATAGATAGATAGATGATAGATATGCATATACATTTGACCCTTGAACAACATGGGTTTGAACTGCACTGGTCCATTTATACATGGATTTTTTTCAGTAAAAGCAGTTCAGTGTTGTAAGTGTATTTTTTCTTCCTTATGATTTTCTTAATAACATTTTTTTGTCTACCTTTATTGTAAGAATACAGTATATAATACATATAATGTACAAAGTATGTGTTAGTTGACTGTTTATGTTACAAGGCTTCTGGTCCACAGTTGTCTATTAATAATTAAGTTTTGGGAGAATCAAAGTTATACATGAATTTTTGACTGTGCTGGGCGTTTGCACCCCTAACCCTCACATTGTTCAAGGGTCAACTATGTATCTATATATTTATCAAAAGATATAACTGTCAATATACAGTGATAACACAAAGTATGGATCTTGCATACTAGTTAGGAATGAATAGACCCTAAATACATAAATGAATATTAAACAAAAATAGAACCCTAGTCCCCTCATGGTCCCATTTCTGCTCCAACAAGATCAAACTATCATGAACCAGGAAAAACTCACCAAACTGCCAGCCCAAGTGTGCATTGGTGGGAAAGGAACTGCTTCCTGAAAGAAGGTGGTTCATAGAATGGCTACAGCAGATGATAAAAAGCTTCAGTTCTCCTTAAAGAAGTTAGGGGTAAACAACAGCTCTAATATTGAAGAAGTGAATATGCTCACAAACCAAAAAACAGAAATCCACTTTCACAACCCGAAAGTTCGGGAAGCCCTGGCAGCGAGCACTTTCTCCATTACAGGCCATGCTGAGACAAAGCAGCTGACAGAAATGCTACCCAGGATCTTAAACCAACTTGGTGCAGACAGTCTGACTAGTTTAAGAAGACTGGCTGAAGCTCTGCCCACACAATCTGTGGATGGAAAAGCACCACTTGTTACCAGAGAGGAGGAGGATGATGAAGTTCCAGATCTTGTAGAGGATTTTGATGAGGCTTCCAAGAATGAAGCAAACCAATGAATTGAGCCAACTTCTGAAGAAGATAAAACTCAAAGAAGTTACTGGGGGCTGCTATTTTATATTATGACTGCTTTTCAAGATTTTGCTCATGGATCTCATAAAATTTAGATTTTATCTATGTAATATTGAGAATTCCAATCCATGAACTTGGAGTTTCTCTCCATTAATTTTAGTCTTCTTTAATGACTCTAACAAAATTTTATAATTTTCCCTGCATAGATCTTTCATGTCTTTTGTCTGGATATTTGTTTCTCTGCCATTGTTCTAGTGTGTTCCCTTCTTCTTCTTCTTTGTCTCCATCTTCTTCCTCTTTATCTTCTTCAGAAGGAAAAAAGAAAACAGAAAAAATAAATATTTTTAAGGCCAAGTCCCTTGGACACTGCAGCTCTTTTCAGTGTTTTCTGAGACACAATTCATTCTTTGTCACTAATTAAGCTGAAGAAACCTGGGAATAAAGTTTGAAACAAGGTTAATAAAGTTCTTTGCCTCGTATATGACTTTATTTTTTATTTCATTGACACCGATGTGTACAAAGAAAGCAAAGTTGTTTATAGAAAGCTAATCATGGCATGTAATATGTCTGGTAATCTTTGATGAAATCTGATTAAAGATTTTAAGTGATTTTAAATGGCAGTATAATGTAAAAAAATCAGATAATGAAAGATGTGAATCAAATAAATGTAACAGAAGAGTAGGAAAGAAAGGGACATATTTATGATAGTATGGTCAAGAAAGACCTTTCTGAAAACCCAGATAATATATGGTCATTTATATACCCAGTAGGAATTTGGCTTTTAATCTTAGTATTTATTAGAAGTCTCTCTAGAATTTTAATTTTGTGAGTGGTGATCTCTGCTGTTGGTTTTTCCAAGATCATTTTGGCTCTGGGATGGAGAATTATGTTTTGGAGGGAGTGATAGAAGCATGAGTCCTCTTTAGGAGGTATTGTTCGGTAGCCTACGTGAGCGCTCATGGTGTTTTGGACTAAGGTGTTAGCAGTTGTATTAATTTTCATTACTGTGTAACAAATTGCTGTGAATTTAGCAGCTGAAGACAACAAACATTTATTTTCTCATCATTTCTGAGGAATCCAGGAGCAGCTTAGCTAGGTGGTTCTGGCTCAGGGTGTCTTATGAGATTTCAGTGAAGCTGTCAGCCTGGGCTGCATCTGAAGCCTTGACTCATATGGCTGGCAGGTAGGCTCTGGAGTTTGGCTGGAGCTGGGCCTCTCATCCTCCAGACTGCTCTTCTCTATCTGGCCTTTTCAGCAGAATAACCTGGACTATTTTACATGACTTGGGCAAGTATTTCTTAGCTACACCATCAAAACCACAATATATAAAAGAAAAATTAATTGAATTTCATCAAAGCTTAAAACTTCTGTTCTATGGAAGACATTAAGAGAATGAAAAGACAAGCTTCAGACTAGGAGAAAATATTTGCAAATCGTATACCTGATGAAGAATTTGTATTCAAAACTCAATCGTAAGGAAACAAACAACTCAATCAAATAATGGGTCAAATTTTGAACAGGTACGTCACTAAAGAAGATACACAGATGGCAAATAAGTACATGAAAAATGTTCAACACTATTAGTCATTAGGGAAGTGCAAATTAGAACTATACTGAACTATCACTACATACTTACTAGAATGGCTAATTAAAAAAAAAACAAAAACCCAAAAACCTGACAACAGGGGACCTGTCTGGCTCAGTTGGTAGACCATGTGACTCTTGATCTCGTGGTCATGAGTTCAAGCCCTACCTTGAGCCTAGAGCTTACTAGAGGAAAAAAAATCCTAAATAAATAAATAAATAAATCTGACAACACCAAATGCTGGTGAGGATTTAGAAGCAACTAGAACTCATACATTTCTGGTGAGAAAGCACTGGAAAATATTTTGGTTTGACAGTTTTTAAAAAACTTAAGCATACACTTATTGTATTATCCAGTAATCTCACTCCAATGAATCCCTTAAAAAAGAAATTAAAAATTATATTTGCAAAGATTTGTATGCAAGTATCGTACTTACTTGGACCTGTAGTACAATCTTGAATAAGAATGGTGAGAATGGATATTCTTTCCTTGTTTTTTGTTTTTTTTTCTTTTCTTTTCTCTTTGTATCCTTGAGTTAATATTGCCTTGTAATAATTTTTAATATCTTATAGGAAATTTTGTTGTCTCTTTTCATCAAAATCCATGGCTCCTTTTAGTCCTTTCTATTTCTATTAAGTGTGTTAATTTTATACTTAATTTGTGAAATTCTACCCAAAATATTTGGAGGCATTTGATTGGAATTATGTAAGTTAGTTTAGGAAGAATGACATCTATGTAATATTGAGAATTCCAATCCATGAACTTGGAGTTTCTCTCCATTAATTTTAGTCTTCTTTAATGACTCTAACAAAATTTTATAATTTTCCCTGCATAGATCTTTCATGTCTTTTGTCTGGATATTTGTTTCTCTGCCATTGTTCTAGTGTGTTCCCTTCTTCTTCTTCTTTGTCTCCATCTTCTTCCTCTTTATCTTCTTCAGAAGGAAAAAAGAAAACAAATATTTTTGCTTTATTTTAAAAATTCAGTTATTAAGGCACATTAAACAATTTGCTTATGTGACAATCTCTCCAACACGTATAGCAATATATTAACAAGATTGCCACATCTTTTATTTGTTTTCTTTTTAAAATAGATTTAATTGACATACACCATGTTATTACTTTCAGGTGTAAAACATAATAATTTGATGTTTGTATATATTGTAAAATGATCACCACAACAAATCTAGTTGACATCCAGCCTTGTTTTTGAACTTAAAGGAGAAATATTCACGTTAAGTAGAAAATTAGTTGTAGCTTTTTATAGATGCCTTTTATCAGGTTAAGGAAATGCATACCTATTTTTACTTTTCTGAAAAGAATAGATGTTGAATTTTGTCAACACCTTTTCATACATATGATCAAATGATTTTCCTTCTTTATGTGCTGATTTGACTTTGAGTTTTAAATGTTGAATCAGCCTTGTATTTCTGGCATAATGGCCCTTATATATTACCCTTTTTATCTATGTCTAGATTTTACTAGGTTATACTTTCTGTGTGTGTGTGTGTGTGTGTGCGTGTGTCTATTTTTATGGGCGATATTGTTCTGTGTTTTCCTTTTCTTTTAATGTCTTTGGCTTTAGTCTCAGAGTAATCTTGGCTTTATAAAATGAGTTGGGAAGTGTTCTCTTCTATTTTTTGGTAGAGTTTGTGCAAATTGATATTTATTCCTTAAATGTTAGAATTTGTTGTTGAAATGATCTGGGCCTGATTTTTCTTTGTTGGTAGTACTGTGTTTTGATAAGGATTTGGGGCTTTAGAATTACTACTCACATCTGACTGTTGATTTTTCCTTGTGAGACCTTGGGCAAGTTACTCAACTCTAAGTAAACTGAGCCTCAGTTTTCTCATTTATAAAATGGGTGGCTGCGAAGATTGAATAATGATATGGATCAGTTGTTCAACTTGTATTATCCTGCATTTACATATGTTAGCTTATTCAGATTTTGTTATTGTACCATATTACTTAAAACTATTTATGCTATTATAATCCTTGTTTTAGAGGTAAGAAAACTACTGCAAAAGGAGATTAAATAACTTACCCAGAGTTACTCTGGTAGCACATGATGGAGCCAGGATTTGAATTGAGGCTGGTTCCCAAGTTCTTGCTTTTAAGTGCTAAGCTGCACTAACCATAATAATACCAGTCTTCCAGGATTGCTAGCAGTATTCAACTAGGCAATTCATGTAAGCAGCTCAATTTGTGTTATTTCAAAGTTGTTGTTTAGTAAATAGGTATTGTTATTAATAATGTGAATTACTATTAGTTTGAAGTCTAGCTACTTTGGAATATTTTCAGCCTGAAAGACTATTAGTATAAATACATTATCAAATACCTTTATTTAAGTTCACTGAGGGGGCGCCTGGGTGGCTCAGTCAGTTAAGCATCTGCCTTCGGCTCAGGTCATGATCCCAGAGTCCTGGGATCAAGAGCCCCCTTGTCAGGCTCCCTGCTCAGTGGGGAGCCTGCTTCTCCCTCTCTCTCTGCAGCTCCCCCAGCTTGTGTACTTTCTCTCTCTTTTCTGTCAAATAAATAAATAAAATCTTAAGAAAAAAAGGACAATGCAGTGAAATATCATAAACATTTGGTGCACTGTACAAAGTGATATTGTGAACATCACATCTTCTTAGGCATCGCACCTTGAATTCTTGCCCTGGTTCAGCACTGTCCTTTTGTGTAATTCTGGTAATTAAATCTCTCCAAGTGTTGGAGGCTATGAAGAATATCTGTTTCCTTCACTTTGACCTAAGTTGTTGAGTGGTTTAAAAAAGAGAAGTATCTAAAGGTGCTTTGAAAAGTACAGCTAGTGCTCATATTAAATATAAATATTTGGTTTTCTAAGTTAAAAATCAAAATCCTTTGTTGATATATAAATATTTTGAGATGATTCTGAATATCATTATTTACTGTGACAGTACAGTTAGATGCCATTTAATATCAGATGTTCAGGTCTCCATGGTGGTTATTCAGGCTTTCCTTATTTTAGTTTCTTTTCTTTTTCTTTTTTTTTCTGTCCAGATGAGTTGATACCTGGCATATGCCAAAATATCAGATTCATTTTATTTATTTGAAAATTATAAAGATAACCTAAAAAGTGGGATCACAAGTTCAATAAGTACTTTGCCCTACCTTTCAGTTGGCAAGACTTATTTTAGTTTTTTAGTGATAAATCTCATTATTTCAAAATACATAGCATAACAGCCTATTATATATATGTGATTAATTAAGACTGTGAGTGGTATGGAAGATTGGCACACACATTTTGACAGAAGGTTAAAATAAAGCTTTCTGTTGTGAACTTTAATAGTTGTTGTGCAGAATATCAAAAGCTAAGGAACCACGATAATAATAACATTGCATTTTTTGTGAATTATAGCTGACTTTGGGCTGGCAAAGCAAAAACAAGAAAACAGTAAACTCACTTCTGTTGTTGGAACAATCCTGTATTCCTGGTAAGGACAATTATTTTATGGTTTTCAAACATCATACCTAACTGAGTGGGGCTTTAGTTTCATGTCTTGGCTTGCAAAGGAAAGATGATTTTAGGAAAAAGAGCTTATTTAATGTTTTCCTCAATTGCCCAGGTAATATACATGAACACAAGTATACATCATTATGTGTGTTTGAAATAACAACAAAAAATTGTCTTTCCTCTATGGTAACTCTGCCCCTCATGGAAACTACTTTTATTACTTATAAATTCAAACGATCCTTGGCACGTAGTAGGTGTGCAATTGTTGTTGAAGAATCTGTAAATGAACTAGCAGACTCACTACTCCCCATGACACTTGGAATGTTTTATTGTACCTATTCAAAAAATGACTGTTTTTCTCTGTCTGCCTAT